CCGTATTTAAAATAAGGTGGAAATGCGATTTCGAGTCGATTCCGAAAATTTCATGCAAAAATTTTGAAAACTGATTGAGTTGTTACAATTTTAATGAGATCAATTCCGCAAATATCGCGAACCGAGATATGGGCAATTTAGTTCATTTTTTGTGGTTTTTTCGCCTTAGTATCCACATTTAAACAGATATAAAGCTATAACTTACAGATAATATGTAGTTTAGGCTTACCTTTCATATAAAGTAAGTTTCATTCAAAAATATTGATATTTGACCAATTTATGGGACGAAATCTACCAAATTTGGTGCGTATGCCCAAATATGGGCATATGGTTTTTGGCTCATAACTCAGTCATTTTTTGTCCAATCTTGATGAAATTTCATATACGAGTTCAGGAGACCACTAGCTACAAGTAGAGCACCATAAACCTTGGTTTTGGGCATGTTCAGGGTGTTTGGCTAAATTGGGCCTAATTTGGACCAAATATGGGCGTGGCTGCCATGCGCGCACCGTTTGGCGGTTGGGGTCCGGGACCCCCTCAAAAGTTCGGTCACTGGTCTTAGTTTGTTGGTCAATTGCTATCTCGAAATCAAGTTTCACAAAAAAATACCCATTGGCCCCCCCCCCTTAATAACTTAGTAATTAATCACCTTCAAGCCATATTTATCATTCGTGGTTACTACAATTGGGCTAATGACCTCCAAACTTTTTTAGAAGCCGAGATGTAGGGGACAATTATAATAAGCATAAATATAAAACCACCTGGGAACTAATTTGTTTAAGGAGTAAAGGGTTATATTTATAAAGGAGTAAAGGGTGATATTTATAATGCCCTAACTAAGATTCTAGAAACTTTAAACTTAAAAGTACCAAATGAGTTTTTCTGGAGTTAATTTTTAGCAAAATCTTGATAATAATTATTAGTTTAATCTTAATCTTTTTATCCCAGGCAATTTGAACAAATAAACCGTATCTTTGGTAGTAGTTAATAGTGGGGGAGGTATGGTGGAGAAATGTGGTAACTGGTAGACGGTAGTGGTAATGGTGGTCCGTAGTGGTTACTAGTGGTAGTGGTTACTAGTGGTAGTGGTGGTGGTAGTGGTAGTGGTAGTGGTTACTAGTGGTAGTGGTGGTGGTTACTAGTGGTAGTGGTGGTGGTTACTAGTGGTCCGTAGTGGTAGTGGTTACTAGTGGTCCGTAGTGGTGGTAGTGGTAGTGGTGGTGGTTACTAGTGGTAGTGGTAGTGGTGGTCCGAAGTGGTGGTGGTTACTAGTGGTCCGTAGTGGTGGTGGTTACTAGTGGTAGTGGTTACTAGTGGTAGTGGTTACTAGTGGTAGTGGTGGTGGTAGTGGTAGTGGTAGTGGTTACTAGTGGTAGTGGTTACTAGTGGTAGTGGTGGTGGTAGTGGTAGTGGTTACTAGTGGTAGTGGTTACTAGTGGTAGTGGTGGTGGTAGTGGTAGTGGTAGTGGTAGTGGTAGTGGTTACTAGTGGTAGTGGTGGTTACTAGTGGTAGTGGTTACTAGTGGTAGTGGTGGTGGTAGTGGTAGTGGTTACTAGTGGTAGTGGTAGTGGTTACTGGTGGTAGTGGTGGTGGTAGTGGTAGTGGTTACTAGTGGTGGTGGTAGTGGTAGTGGTAGTGGTAGTGGTTACTAGTGGTAGTGGTTACTAGTGGTAGTGGTAGTGGTAGTGGTAGTGGTAGTGGTAGTGGTAGTGGTTACTAGTGGTAGTGGTGGTTACTAGTGGTAGTGGTTACTAGTGGTAGTGGTAGTGGTTACTGGTGGTAGTGGTGGTGGTAGTGGTAGTGGTTACTAGTGGTAGTGGTTACTAGTGGTGGTGGTGGTGGTAGTGGTAGTGGTTACTAGTGGTAGTGGTTACTAGTGGTAGTGGTAGTGGTAGTGGTTACTAGTGGTAGTGGTTACTAGTGGTAGTGGTAGTGGTAGTGGTTACTAGTGGTAGTGGTGGTAGTGGTAGTGGTAGTGGTAGTGGTTACTAGTGGTAGTGGTAGTGGTAGTGGTTACTAGTGGTAGTGGTTACTAGTGGTTACTAGTGGTAGTGGTAGTGGTAGTGGTTACTAGTGGTAGTGGTTACTAGTGGTAGTGGTAGTGGTAGTGGTTACTAGTGGTAGTGGTAGTGGTTACTAGTGGTGGTGGTAGTGGTAGTGGTTACTAGTGGTAGTGGTAGTGGTAGTGGTAGTGGTAGTGGTAGTGGTGGTGGTAGTGGTAGTGGTAGTGGTGGTGGTAGTGGTAGTGGTAGTGGTAGTGGTGGTGGTAGTGGTAGTGGTTACTAGTGGTAGTGGTAGTGGTTACTAGTGGTAGTGGTGGTGGTTACTAGCTGTGGTAGTGGTAGTGGTGGTGGTAGTGGTAGTGGTAGTGGTTACTAGTGGTAGTAGTGGTTACTAGTGGTAGTGGTGGTTACTAGTGGTAGTGGTGGTTACTAGTGGTCCGTAGTGGTAGTGGTAGTGGTGGTGGTAGTGGTAGTGGTTACTAGTGGTAGTGGTAGTGGTTACTAGTGGTAGTGGTGGTGGTTACTAGCTGTGGTAGTGGTAGTGGTGGTGGTAGTGGTAGTGGTAGTGGTTACTAGTGGTAGTAGTGGTTACTAGTGGTAGTGGTGGTTACTAGTGGTAGTGGTGGTTACTAGTGGTCCGTAGTGGTGGTGGTAGTGGTAGTGGTAGTGGTTACTAGTGGTAGTAGTGGTTACTAGTGGTAGTGGTGGTTACTAGTGGTGGTGGTTACTAGTGGTAGTGGTAGTAGGGGTGAAGTGGTTACTAGTGGTAGTGGTAGTAGGGGTGAAGTGGTTACTAGTGGTAGTAGTGGTTACTAGTGGTAGTGGTGGTTACTAGTGGTGGTGGTTACTAGTGGTAGTGGTAGTGGTTACTAGTGGTAGTGGTGGTTACTAGTGGTAGTGGTTACTAGTGGTAGTTGTAGTGGTTACTAGTGGTAGTGGTAGTGGTTACTAGTGGTAGTAGGGGTGAAGTGGTAGTGGTAGTGGTTACTAGTGGTAGTGGTAGTGGTTACTAGTGGTAGTGGTAGTGGTTACTAGTGGTAGTAGGGGTGAAGTGGTAGTGGTAGTGGTTACTAGTGGTAGTGGTGGTGGTAGTGGTAGTGGTAGTGGTTACTAGTGGTAGTAGTGGTTACTAGTGGTAGTGGTGGTTACTAGTGGTAGTGGTGGTTACTAGTGGTAGTGGTGGTTACTAGTGGTCCGTAGTGGTGTTGGTAGTGGTAGTGGTAGTGGTTACTAGTGGTAGTAGTGGTTACTAGTGGTAGTGGTGGTTACTAGTGGTGGTGGTTACTAGTGGTAGTGGTAGTAGGGGTGAAGTGGTTACTAGTGGTAGTGGTAGTAGGGGTGAAGTGGTTACTAGTGGTAGTAGTGGTTACTAGTGGTAGTGGTGGTTACTAGTGGTGGTGGTTACTAGTGGTAGTGGTAGTGGTTACTAGTGGTAGTGGTGGTTACTAGTGGTAGTGGTTACTAGTGGTAGTTGTAGTGGTTACTAGTGGTAGTGGTAGTGGTTACTAGTGGTAGTAGGGGTGAAGTGGTAGTGGTAGTGGTTACTAGTGGTAGTGGTAGTGGTTACTAGTGGTAGTGGTAGTGGTTACTAGTGGTAGTAGGGGTGAAGTGGTAGTGGTAGTGGTTACTAGTGGTAGTGGTAGTGGTTACTAGTGGTAGTGGTAGTGGTTACTAGTGGTAGTAGGGGTGAAGTGGTAGTGGTAGTGGTTACTAGTGGTAGTGGTAGTGGTTACTAGTGGTAGTGGTAGTGGTAGTGGTGGTGGTGGTGGTAGTGGTTACTAGTGGTAGTGGTAGTGGTGGTGAAGTGGTAGTGGTAGTGGTTACTAGTGGTAGTGGTAGTGGTAGTGGTGGTGGTGGTGGTAGTGGTAGTGGTAGTGGTTACTAGTGGTAGTGGTAGTGGTAGTGGTAGTGGTAGTGGTAGTGGTAGTGGTTACTAGTGGTAGTGGTAGTGGTAGTGGTTACTAGTGGTAGTGGTAGTGGTAGTGGTAGTGGTAGTGGTAGTGGTAGTGGTAGTGGTTACTAGTGGTAGTAGGGGTGAAGTAGGTGTTCCACATTCCAAACCCGGAAATTTATATTCAGTCACGGGCTAGCAATCTTTCCACGAATCCCCGTTAACTCACTCAGCTAGGAACCAAAACCAATTCGCCGAATTTATATTAATTGTTCTCCCAAAATGTTGAGCTATCTACTTCCTAAATTTTCGAATGGAATAGCTAAGATTTGCGGTCGTGTTCAAGAATTGATGATTAACAAGTGTCGGTATACAGTAGACTTCTTCAGTTTTAGATAAATCTTTAGTTTTAATGGAGTCTCCAATAATACAAATCAAACAATACAGCATGATTCAAATTTTAAAAGTCATTTTATTTCGAGTAAATTTGTTTCTAACGTTTCCACCCGGAAGTTAATACTGTGTCTGTAAGCCACATGTGCTTTATTGTGCTGGGTTTCTCAGAAATTACAGAACACGTACTGGATTCCGTATAGTCTGACTATTACACTGTGATGGGTTAGAATGTTGAACTTTGCCAACTAAGATGTCGTATTGTCGTTTTCAGGAGCTGTATTTTAGAGTACGGCTTTGTATTTTGAGAGTTTAGATTTTTCACAGATTGTTCTATTTTTGTTTAGTATTTACATTTGTTTTTCTAATTTTGTCTCGGACCCACTAGTAGTTAGCCCAATCGTAGTTAACCCCATAAACATCATGCAAAATAGTTCCCTCCTGTCGTTAATTGGGTGGTGTCCCAATTAGTCCAATTATGAATTTAATTATCGGACGGACTATTGTTCTATTATCTTTATAAAAACTCTGTTTTACTAGGGGGGGGGGGGGGGGCTGTCTTACTAGGGGGGGGGGGGGGGGGGGGGGGCTGTCTTACTAGTTTAGGAGAGTTGTTTCTAGATCTGCTGAATCTCAAAAATGAATTAAGCTGATTAAACTTACTAAGTACAAGGACTAAGGAGAATAAGTAGTAATACTCTACATTATTGCCAGGTTATGAAAGATGGAGGGAAACACCCAACAGAAGCCTCCCAGATCCTTAACAAAGAGAAGGAGAGACCTCTCTTCACCATCTACAATGTCCTACTCCTCACCATGCTCTCCATTCTTATGTTCATGACAGGTACAGTTTTATTTATCAGCTCGACTTTACTTACTATATTATACAGGTAGAACTATACTTCATAGCACAAATTCATAATATTGTCAAATAAACGGATTAAATTGTTCAGTTCATAGAACAAGTCACCAAGGAAAAAGTATTAAAATCTAAATCCCCGTCCTCGTCCTAACATCCTGCTGAATTTCAGGAGTACAGTACAATATTTCCCAGATGATATCCTACCATCAGTCCTGTCAATGGAGCGTACCCCATACCTTCCTAGCATTAGAACCTACAGTGTTGGTAGCAGTGATAGGGGCTGCTACATTTGTTACTGGTATCTTGAGTGATAAGTACGGGAGGAAGACCGTCATGGTAGGTAAGTCAATAGACACAGGTTTCCCCCTGACACCTAATACTGGTCAGTATTGTACTACGTTCAATGATCGGGTCTTTCAATCGGACTAGTTATAGATCTAGTGCATTAAAAATGCGCTCATCTTCGTTCCTGTTGGAATGTACATTGGGCTGTTGCACATAATCTAAAATCTTCTTGTCCCAATCAATGTATTCAATAACGATTTTAACTTTACAGACTGATAATTGAGTAACTTAACAAACGCTCCCTTTAAAGTGTTTAAGTTGATCTGTGAATATGTTTCAGGTGTGGTAGTCGTCCTCTCAGCGGGTACTCTCGTATGTGGGCTGGCTAAAGAAATAATCCAGTATGAAATTGGAAGAGTCACTATAGGTTTGAAAATTATTCCCTTTAACTTGACTTTCCAATTACAGAATCGCTTTAAATTTAAGACAATTTTCACTGTTGGGGTTGAAATGAAAATAAATTTGATTTCGGGATTGCTGGACGCCCCTCACTCCGTCCCTCACTCCGTCCCTCACTCCGCCCTTACTCCATCTCTCAGTCCGCCCCGTAATTGCTACCGTTTTTTTCTCAAGAACGGAATTATATAATATGTTTGGTTTTCAACATAATACCACGTACATTATGAGAATAAATTTGATTCTCCAGATTTCGTAGAAATGTAACCAATCTGAGTTATTGCGAAACTAACTTCATTACGTAAATTAATAAAAACACAATCACATACTTGATACGCGTAATGCAATATTTGGTTGGGTGCACCACAAAGTTGATTGTAAGGAAAAGTGATGAGACCTGGTTGGATACAGATTGAAAGTTTGGTATTAATTCACATTTCTAGGAAATATAGTCCAGACTGTAACTTAATAACAAATAACTTAATAACTTAAAACAATCTCTCTGCAGGATCCAGTATAGGAGCTTTGTTCAACCTGTGTATTGTGATGTGGCTGGAGAGTAGTCCTATCAGTTACAATAACATAAACCCGCCACGCAAAGGGTTTATATAACAGATCATCCCGCGCTAGCGGGATGATCTGATAAACACATACGAGTGCGCGCAGCGCACGAGTTTTGTGTTAATATGTAATCCCGAAGCGCCAGCTGAGGGATTACATTTATTTAGCCCTGAGCGTGAAGTGTTTATGGATTATAATCATCTCCGGCGATTTCGACAAGGGATTTATACTTTAGAAGAGAGTGATAAACCGATCTGTCATAGTGGAGCAATAGCTTGAACGTTAGCAGGAACAAGAGCTGGAAGGAGAGCAAGCAAAACAATACTATTTTTAGGGCACGGACAAGGGTAGCTGGCTAGTCGCCAACTTCTCACGCCACGCGTTGGAGAAATTCCAAGAATTAGCTGCTTTGGCAACGTTCCCAGGAATTTGCGTGTAAATGAAGTGGACGGTTACGATGTTTCATATCACGTGGTGCGCTTTCGTGTCACGTGGTATAGACTCGGCGTATGCTATTGGTGGCACGTGGTACGCACGTGACGCGCCCACGTGATCGCGCGTCTAACTGTTCTACTATTATCGAGTTCTAATCAGCAGTATCATTGATTATTGTAAGTCGGAGAATTGAATGATAAACATCAGTTACGACTAAAAAGCGGGCCGGGTTTATACAAATTTCCGGGGCGGGATGATATCACCTTGAGATGTTTATCTAACAGCGGGCCGGGCTGAGTGATAATATGATCCCGCGTCGAAATCCCGGAGATATTTATATTACTAGTTACCATAGTTACACTAACAATCTCTCTGCAGGATCCAGTATAGGAGCACTGTTCAACCTGTGTATTGTTATGTGGCTGGAGAGTAGTCCTATCAGGATAAGAAAGCTGGGTATTCTCGTTCTCATGGTGATGACGTCACTAGGACACGCTTCTATTGTTATCTACGACTATCTTATAATGGTGAGTCACTACTTTTAGTTCTACTATTTCTGCTACTGTTCATCACATGTCAATTACTAGTCAGATTTTCCATCATGATAAAAAGGGTTTGTATAATTACTTAGCGGAATGGTTTAAATTGGTCTCCACCCGTTTAAATTCACCCGGTACATTTTCAGGTCCCCTATGGTTGGAATTTCGGGGTATTGTTTAATTTGATCGTTATGGTCCCAACCTACATTATACTGTTCACTCCGACGAAACGCCTCAATACCTCATGACTCATGGGAGAATACCGGAAGCTTTGAAGGTGGCCAGAAGATGTGGCATGATCGAAGAGGTAAACTAATGTTAAATTTGGCTGTCACATAAACATGATACATGTACTATTGTGAACAGTTTAACCCATATTCTTCCACGGTACTTTTAAAAGTACGGTTCATAAACAGTGACCTAACTTGTCTCGTGACAAATATTTTTTAGTTAGTCAAAATGATTTTTGTTCAAAAACAAACATTTTCAGGATTTAGCAGATAAAACGGAGGAAGATGACAAATCACGATCAGGAAGCTTCAAAGCGATCTTCAGCACATCTTATAGATGGACAACAGTTAAGCTTATCCTTCTATTCGGTCTGCACAGGATGGTAGAAGTAGGTCTGATATTTGGGGTACCCTACCTACTTGCTGTTAACTTCTGTGATGAGCCGGAGAGGATTGCACAGAACATGACCAACTGGGATGATCAACCTCCGGACACTTTTGATTGTCTCCATTTCTCTATTAATGTGAGATTACGTATTTAGTTATAAATCAGTTCTGCTTTCTTTAAGATACTGCTATCTCTTTGTTATAAGTGATATCGTAACATAAGCAAACATAACATGGCTGAACTGTAAAATTTGTATTTATTCTCCAATTCTAAAGACATCTCATTTCAGGACTACCTATTCATCTTCAGTTTTGCAATCTTGGGTATACCTGGGTTCATGATCGGAGCCATAATACAGGTAATGTACAGTGTTGAAAAACAGGACATAACTGAGAATGATATGTCTAAGGTTTCATTTATATACTATTATAATACTTTAGTAAAGCACTATGATGTTGAAACAAATGTAGGTCGTAGATAATGGCGTTTTGTTTACTAATATATATAAATATATACAACGGTTTTTCTTTCTCCTTTCAGCAATATATATATATATAAATAGTATAATTAATATTAGTAGTATTAATAACACCTACAAAACCTCTGCAGTCGAACTATCTGCGAATCCCGGACCGGTACGGAATCCTGGCATTATCAGTAATAGTTGGAATACTCCTAGTATGGTGCTCTATCTGTGATACCTACCTTTACTGGATGCTGGAACTCAAGCTGGGGTTGCTCAGGATATTCATATCTAGCCAGGTAACAATCACCTTCCTGATTTCACTTTAAAGATTAACTTTATGATGCTAATTTGTCGGAGTCGTGAATTTATTGTTCCATTGATGCCAATAAATGCATCTGTTTCCAGTGATATTTGTTCGAATGCCTCCAGGTATTGTTAATGCAGCTTCATGAACCACATAATAACATGACTCCTTCACAAACAATTCCCTTCAGGACCAGGTATTCTCGGTACTAATCCCCTCCGTCTTCCCTACACAAATCCGGAACGGAGCGAGCGGGTTCGTACGAGCTTGTGGCATCATCCTCTCTTCCAGCGGACCCTTCCTAACCATATGGTTCTTCAACTACTTCTCTGTTACCTGGTGTTTAGTTATCCAGGCTGTTATTTATCTCATGAGGATACCGCTCAGTATGAGGCTTAAAGCTTCTACTTCGCCTCCAGAGGACAAATATAGCAAAAAATATAGCACAGACACTAATGATGAGGGGGATGACCAGTCTATAGATTCATTTTGAAGATATTGTGTTTACTTAAATTTATTGTTGGACAAACTCGAGTGAATAAGCTTCCAGAGTTGAAAAATAAAACAAAACTTTAAGAACAAAGTCACTTCAATTGTGTGAATTGAAACAAGCGAAAGAATGAGAAGTGACCCCATTAACGAGCATCAACCTGGTACAGACTATCCTCTTCTGTTGCAAGCCAACAAAGTACTACCAGTTGATACACCTATCTGTACACTTTTATATACTGTACAGTATATAAAAGTGTACAGTGTATACTGTACACTGCCCAGACTGGAGAGAAACAGTTTCTGGACAGTCAATTCAATGTTGATAACCATTATTACTTTTATTGTCATTACAGTTTTTATATTTGTATAATTGATTGAGCTTTATATGAACTAAGCTAATTTATTATGTACAAAATTTTATTTTATTGAAAATAATAATATGCTGGTATTTCTGAGAGTGGAAAAGTTTTCCATATAAATATAATAAGGAGATTTCCAGAGAGGAGATAAGAGGGGCGAATAAGTGCATGCGAAATAGGAACATCCAGTTTGTTCCGGTTCATTCTTGGATCTGGTCCATGTTTAATCTGCAAAACTTTCGATAAGAACCGACACTTATCCCAAAGTTCCTATGGTCATGAGGCCCCTCATGGGCTTTTTGAAACCAATTTTATTTAAGGAATTTATTGCCGTTGAAAACTTAAGCAGTGATACACTGCAATTTAACCCAATGATACACGAATTAAATGATAATTGCAAAAACGAATTTCATTATTATGGTGATTATCAAATTTGGTGATATCAAATTTGTCAGAATAGAATATAAATTACAAATTACAAAACTTAGAAACAAGAATTCCATTTCTATGGTTAAAATTTGGTACTTATCATTACTTAATGTAATATGAGTATTTTAGGAAACTCATCTCTTTATCTTCCAAAGTGAAGTTTTGCTACGTTTTGCTAATCTTAGCTGCCTTATCTCTATTTTATCGCTACATTATCATGATGGTACTGGGGTTTCCGACAATGATTCAAGGACAAGAATGACTCCCTATCAGTATCTTACTTATAACTCGGAGTTGTCTTCGTTTTTTCTTCGTATGACTGCGAGTATGACCGCCGTGCAAATTGGATGAGAAAGGAAGTTGCGTAGTTTTTTGTGATTACGTTGTCAGTTAAACAAAAAAGCTACTCCTTGTGTGGAGTGTTTTGCATAATAATCAGCTGTATCTCTGGTTAGGATCTCCTCCCTGTGACTACAGGTTTTCTAGTTATTATACAAAGAGAGCTTCAGATAACACTTTCATGTGTAAATGATGTTTAAAGTTCTTCAGATAACCCTGACTATCATCTTTGTGTTAACTGCTTGAAGATCAAAGAGGAAACATTTTATAATAAAATTGACTTCAACCATTTAGAAAATATTGATTCAGATTAAATCAAAAGACACAATTTGAAATTGAATAAGTTACGAAATCTTATAATTAGTCGGGAAATCTAAAAACCTTCGAGAACACTTGCAAAATATTACCAGAGTCATTCTTTTTCCGAGTATTCACTCTACTTCCAACTTACATTTCAATGTATCCTTAACTGATCCTTCTAACTTTCTAATACTTGAAAGCCCTAAATCTGATAACACTAATTTGATAATTAAAATGTAGGTGAATGTGAATTGTATAAGCGAAAAGATTCTAGTCACAAGCTGTTAGTAAATAGTTTATCATAGTTTAACACGAGGACGCTCAAATTAAGTAGGAAGACAAATCAGAGCGGATAGCTATTTCAAAGAAAAATCAAATCGCCGTTTCCCAGAAATCCTGCCCCGATTCCGCGCTTTTCCCTGGTTCTCTATGTTCGGAAATACGTGTTGTTTATCAAATTATTCTATGAAATAACAAAATGTATTGTGAATTCCTTTTCAGTTGAAAGAGTTAATTTCTTTATGTTTGCGTGTCTTATGTTTATTTTGCACTGTACTGTATAGTGTAAACTGTTTATTTTTATAAGTTGTTATGTCAACTTTTAAAGTTCAAGCTTTTTGCTGCTTTCTTTAAATTATGGCATGAATATAATACGTATGACTATGAGCAACTCTCATGACTGTCTTCTAAATCTAGGTGTCATGGCCGATGATCCAGACGAATGGCGCTCTTTAACAGACTCCACGGAGTGTACGCCCATGCTAAAGAAGAAGGGAGTACGGTCTATCACAACCTACAATGTTCTACTTCTCTTCATGCTCTCAATCTTCATGTTCATGACAGGTACCAGATCACCAGCTCACCAGCTCACCAGCTCACCAGCTCACCAGCTCACCAGCTCACCAGCTCACCAGCTCACCAGCTCACCAGCTCACCAGCTCACCAGCTCACCAGCTCACCAGCTCACCAGCATCGTCAGATTGTACCCCCCCCCCCCCCCCCCCCCCCGGCCCCATGTGCCTGCAGTCAATATTGTTAGGAGGTATGACATCCCCGTCCTAACATCCTGTTTAATTTCAGGGGTACAGTACAATATTTCCCAGATGATATCCTACCATCAGTCCTGTCAATGGAGCGTACCACATACCTTCCTAGCATTAGAACCTACAATGTTGGTAGCTGTTATAGGCTCCTCAGCCTTTATAACCGGTATACTGAGTGATGTGTACGGCAGAAGGAGAGTGATGATTGGTAAGTGTAGTGTACCCCCCCCCCCCTGTAAGTTAATACCAGTTTCTACACACTGGTTGCCATGACAATACCAGTTTCTACACACTGGTTGCCATGACAATACCAGTTTCTACACACTGGTTGCCATGACAATACCAGTTTCTACACACTGGTTGCCATGACAATACCAGTTTCTACACACTGGTTGCCATGACAATACCAGTTTCTACACACTGGTTGCCATGACAATACCAGTTTCTACACACTGGTTGCCATGACAATACCAGTTTCTACACACTGGTTGCCATGACAATACCAGTTTCTACACACTGGTTGCCATGACAATACCAGTTTCTACACACTGGTTGCCATGACAATACCAGTTTCTACACACTGGTTGCCATGACAATACCAGTTTCTACACACTGGTTGCCATGACAATACCAGTTTCTACACACTGGTTGCCATGACAATACCAGTTTCTACACACTGGTTGCCATGACAATACCAGTTTCTACACACTGGTTGCCATGACAATACCAGTTTCTACACACTGGTTGCCATGACAATACCAGTTTCTACACACTGGTTGCCATGACTTCACGTGTTAAACTCCAGGAGTTGCTTTTTTAACCTGGTGAATAATATATTAGGTGTAGATCTACCAAGTGGACCTTTTGCTACAGTTTATTAAACAGTTTATTTACAGTGGTAGTTGTTGTTCTCTCCACGGGTATACTCTTATGTGGGATAGCTCAGGACATCATACAGTATGAGGTCGGGAGAATGGTGACAGGTAATTTTAAATAACTTTTGTTTTATTTAAGTATTTGGGAAATTGTGAGACTAGATTTTGTAACGATACGGCCACTAGACTGTTAGAAAAGTTATTAAACCACTGTGTGACAGTCCTCTGACACATCGTGTTTCTGAAACTACAATGCTAAACACGGAAATCCGGAGTACAATCGCAATGTGTTTGGGGATTCAGGAATCCCCAGTGTTTAGTTAGTGTTACAACGTTGTCCGACTCAGTGGCGGACTGGTCCGACTAGGGAAATGTCCATTAATATGTAAATATAATTTAAACTAGATATAATAGAGAGTATAGTAGAAGTAACAGTAGAGGGCTGACTTATCGGCTCTAGATACTTCATGTCTTTTGTTTTTCCGCTTCAGGAGTTTCCTCTGAAGGTGTTTCCTCTGAAGTACCTATCCTTTTACATTTCCTGCGTTTAGACATTCCAAGTAACTGAGTGTTTGCTTTGATAATATGATTTGGTTACCATTTACTACGAAACTCATTCATCAGAATCTAATTTAAAAACTTGGATTACATAATAACTTGGATCATATAGATCATGATAAATCTGACCCAAAGCAGCCGACCATTATACAGGATGTAATATGCCTGTAGTCTGTGCGTCATTCGATCAACTTCCTTTAGTAAATTCCTTTAGTAAATTCTAAGAACACAAATAAAGATCATATTGTGTGTCATTTCAAAGAACTCGTATTCATGGTATATCCGCTGAGTGATGTAGCGAGTATTATTACATTACAAACTATGTAACTTTTACTAACTATTATTACATTACAAACTTTGAACACAACTTAAAACACTTACAGCAGGTCTCATTCACATGTAACAAATACAACTGGGTGTACTATATTATGTAGGTGTTACTTCGACGGCCCCCATCCTAAACGGCCCCATTTCCATAAAGCCACTAGCGTCATGCCTATTAAAATTTCTTAACATAAAACCCTAAGGTTGTATTTTTACAATCTAACAGAAATGCCTGTTCAGGGTTCTGCCTTGGAGCGATGTTCAACCTGTGTATTGTTATGTGGCTGGAGAGTAGTCCTATCAGGATAAGAAAGCTGGGTATTCTCGTTCTCATGGTCATGACCTCGTTGGGACACGCTTCTATTGTTTTCTTTGATTACTTCATAATGGTAAGAAACTCTTCTGTTATTCAGCGATTGTTTTATTTACTTTTCATATTCTTCTTGCTTAAAAGAGCTTCGCCCTTAATTTCAGTTTGGTTTGTTCTATACCCCCTATTACATGATAAATTTTCAGGTTCCCTACGGTTGGAATTCCGGGGTATTGATTAATTTATTGATACTGATCCCAGCCTACATTATACTGTTCCACTCGAACGAAACGCCTCAATACCTCATGAGTCAAGGCAGGGTACCAGAAGCTTTAAAAGCGGCTAGAAGATGTGGCATGGTCGAAGAGGTAAACTAATTTCTGTTACAGTTAAAACCTGGAATCACGGTCTGTAACAAAGATGGAAAATAAGAAAATCGTAACATCACAAAAACGACGATAGAATAGGATGTACGTTTTAGCTTTCAATGGATTTGATTGCAAATGAACCACTTTCAGGATATGGTAGATAAGAAGCAACATGCTAAATCAAGAACAGGGAGTGTCAAGGCGATATTCAGTCCTGCGTACAGGTGGACCACTCTAAACCTCATCTTTCTATTTGGGCTGCATCGGCTGGTAGAAATCGGTCTGATATTTGGGGTACCTTACATAATGGCGGTTAATTTCTGTGACGAACCGGAGATGATAGCTCAGAACGTGACAGAATGGGTGGAAATGCCTTCAGATACCATGGCCTGCCTTCAGTTCTCCTTCAATGTAAGATTTAAGATATTTACTATTTTATTTTATCGTACTCATTATGAGAGTTTTCGATTAGTTAGGTAAATGTTTATACTTAAAGTTCGTCATTCTCTGATCTTTCAATTAAACTTTGATTTGTTATTTAGATTTTATCTACCGATATGATATTAAGATTTTAACCGTTTCAGGACTACCTCTTTATCTTCAGTTTTGCTATCTTTGGGATCCCAGGGTTTATAATCGGAGCCATCATTCAGGTAATGTACAGTGTACACTATACATCATTCAGGTAATGTACAGTGTACACTATACATCATTCAGGTAATGTACAGTGTACACTATACATCATTCAGGTAATGTACAGTGTACACATCATTCAGGTAATGTACAGTGTACACTATACATCATTCAGGTAATGTACAGTGTACACTATACATCATTCAGGTAATGTACAGTGTACACTATACATCATTCAGGTAATGTACAGTGTACACTATACATCATTCAGGTAATGTACAGTGTACACTATACATCATTCAGGTAATGTACAGTGTACACATATATTGAGGTAGAGTCTAGAAGTTAGGACTTCTACTTGTTGTTATTTATTACATATCTTCCAGATCTCTTATTGTACGTCCATTGTAAGATCTACGAAGTGGTATTTGCAATATAAAATTTCAGTCCAACTATTTGAAGATACCCGATCGTTACGGGATCCTAGCATTGACTGTGATAGTTGGAATACTGCTGGGATGGTGCTCCTATTGTGATACTAGCTCTCACTGGATGGTGGAACTGAAGCTGGGATTAGTGCGCATATTCATCGCTAGTCAGGTACCAACCACATATAGAGGTTTTCAGGTACCAACCACATTTAGAGGTTTTCAGATCAGCACAAAAGTATGATTCTAGCACTTTCAGACTTGAAGTGACTTTCCCATTATTATTACCCATTATATTTATAATCTTATTTACCTAATTATCTCCTAATTATCTCGCAGGACCAGATGTTCTCCGTACTAGTTCCCTCTGTCTTCCCAACAAAGATCCGTAACGGAGCCTGTGGTTTCGTGCGAGCATGTGGAATCATCCTGTCTTCAAGTGGGCCCTTCCTCACCATCTCTCTCTTCAACTACATCTCCATCAGCTGGAGTTTAGTTGTGCTCGCTATCATTTACCTTTTACGAATACCTTTAGGTATCGCTCTAAAAGCATCTACTTCGCCCGTTGAAGAGAAAAAAGACGTTTCAAGAACGAGCTCTTTTGATGACTTTGATTCGTCGATTGCTGATTCTATTTAAAGAGACAGAGTTCCCATTCTGCTGCCACACCACTGGTGTAATTAATTCCGCCATTCTAACTGAGCGCTTAATCTTGAATCTTCAGATAGTGTCTCTAAAATGATAGAATTATTCTTGCGGTGTATCACTACTCTTGCGGTGTATCACTGCTCGTGCGGTGTATCACTACTCCACTGCGGTGTAACACTGCTCGGCTGCGGTGTAACAAGATGGGCACTACTCCACTACTCCAGTGGGTCTGTCCAAAGTCTGGACTCTACAGAGTCACTACTAGTGTACACTAGAAGTGACTACAGAGTCATGAAGTCGTTATTTCAGTATAAGAACCCTAGTTTCGTGCGGAACTAATGCTGGCTGTTTTTGTAGTAAAATAGTTTCCTGGCAAGTGACAAATACCACGAAATGAGGGTTCTAGTATTTTATTCAGTGTCTTTTTGGTTGATAAATTCAAACTTATTTTATGAATATTTTTCGGTCTACACTTGAAATCACTAACAGAATACCGCGACCCTGACATTGTTGGTTTTAATGTATGACTTAAAGAGGGTTACTAATTAGGTTAAATTAATCGATTTATTACGGCCATGTTACTCCTTCCCAGTTCCCACCATCTGATAGAATTATCTCAGTTTAAGTTAATTTATTATCATATTTTATCTAATGTAAGTTTTTATTTTGTTTTATCTTTTATATAAAATGATTTACGTGTTACCCCTTGGTTCGAATGCCAATTTTCGCCCAATTTATGAAATAGAATTTGCCCAATTCTTTGGCTCTCTCTTTTTCGATTTCACTTAATTATTTGACCGGAAAATTCTTGAATCGTTTACAAAAGTTTGTAATTCGACAGTTAATTGAAACCAGTAACTAGTAGCCTTCTACTGAGTGTGTCAGTAGCAGGGCGGTCAACTTATTGGCCGTGAAACAGGTTTAACAGGTTACCCAGGTAACTGCATGTAATTTTATTTTGAAAAGCTATTTGTTAACTTAAAGCCATGAATAGACATGAGAAGAAGATCATGTAGCGTTACCATGACTACATATCTGTTTTGCCTTTTTATCAGCTCCATCGTGACCCAGATGAAACTAGCTTGTTCGTTTAGCTGTGTAAAATTCAACATTTCGTGTCAAACAAATCGTTTGAATATCTAAACAAATTAATTTACACAAATACTAGTTCTATCTAGATAATAACACAGAACAGTGAAAAACAAAAGTGAAAATAATTGTGTTATCTGTTCCTATTTACATTACCTCCACACTTCTTGAGAAAAGAACGATTCTATTTAAAAACTTTCCAATTAATACATGAATGGATTGTTCTTGCAATTCAAAAGATATAAACATATTTACATATCCAAGGTTACTAATACTACTAGTAGTCATATTACAAATACTACTAGTAGTCACTACACAGCTAGGAAATGTTCTACTCTAGCAGTCTAGCATTTTAGTTGGAGAGTTGTGTTCTTAGTAATCTTGCTTCCCTAGTTACCATGGCAACTCTCTTAGTTACCATGACAACTACTCTCTTAGTAATCTTGCTTCCCTGCTTCTACAGTGCGGGTCAGAACTACACTCCTGACAAAAAGAGAATTGATAATCACGAGCAAGTTTATCCAATATCTGTATTATTATATCATTAGAGAAATAGGTAGAAATTGTATAAAATGTAAAATATAACTATGTTACAACAGTTGCCTCTGCTCACTTCAACAGTCTCTCTGTACCCAATATTAATTATTTCTTATTGCAGTGCATATTACTGAAATAAAAGATTAGAGTAATCACTTGTCCTGACGCCTCCTCCTTTTTCTGCTCTTCATTACTACGACCACCAGGATGAGGGCAGCAATCAAGATTAGAAGAACCACAACTACAACCACTACTACCGCCATCGTGTCAGCCTCTGAGAGTTTATTCGTTTAGTAAGTTTAATATCAAGATCAAATCTCAGGGTATTTTCAGAGAAGAACCATTGATAAAATGTATTTTATTGTTAATCGTAACTAGACTATAAACACTCACTTTCATGGATAGAAAGTAACTGAGTAGCTCTGACAGGCGTCCTGTTCTTCCCAACAGTAATCTCGCAGGTAAATGTTACTTTAGTTGTATCAGACTCTCCCAGCAAATTAGCTATCTCCCGATTAGATATAGTCAATGTTGACACCTGACTTTGTGATCTCCCATTGTAGAACCCGTCCTCCATGGTGTAAAGGTCCTCTGTATGTGTAGTAGGGTCCCAGTGTACAGTGGTGGGTGCTGGGATATCAGTGAGGAGACAGCTGATCATGTGGTGAGGCCCTTTAGAGGAGATGTGACGACCAGGTCCTAGAGTCCACACGTTCTCTCTCAGCGGGGATATCGTTACACCTGGTGGAGAGGGGGGGGGGGTCAGAACACCAAACAGAGTGCATCTACTGGGAACTTTTCTTTTTTTTTTCTTTTTTTTTAAGAGAGGCTGGGCCTGGTTGGCCCACGAGAGGATAGCATATGAATGCTTTGCCTACCTCTGGGGTCTACTAGGAACTTGTGTCGCTATGAACACTTAAAGTGTCATTACAGATTAATAATTTAATGAAACAATAAACTTACTGGGAGTGTATAGCATGATCATCTCTGTGAACACTATTGGGGTGTTCTTCTTTCCAACAATTATCCTACAAGTGAATGTGTGGTCCTGACCGGCCCTCCTCAGTTCCGTTAACTTAGCACTGGTTATTGTGAGGGAGGAATGTTGTTCGGATCCTTTGAAGTGGGACTCTATCTCGTACATTCCTATCTCCTGTGTTACAGACCATGAGACAGCATGCTGGTATGGAACATCGTCAAACACACAGCTAATAGTGTGGTCCTCACTTGTAAACACACTCATCACTCCAGCTAGAGCTCCTGTTGTCACTCCCGCTTCAGTTGTCACTCCCGCCTGTACTGTCGAGGCCGGCTTCGAAGGTACACCTGGCCAGATGATGTCATGAAGATATGCTGCTATGCACTTTGATGTTCAACATGTATGATTAATGATTACTGATTAATATTCACTCGCCTTCTTAACTGAAGAAAATTCGACATTTGATAGTGTTGAGATTGAATTATTTGGCATCCACTAAAAGTGAAAGCAAATAAACGTTAACGAAATATAGCTTACTAGGACTGAAGAGGGTAATGGACTGAACAGCGGTGACAACGGTATGATGATCCCCGAACTCGTACATACATGTGAATAAGTGCACCTTGTTGGCCTCGTTAAGTAGGACCATCCGGGCACTAGAAATAGAGAGGGTAGCAGTCTGGGAGGATCCACTGAGGGTGCCATCTGTTAGACTGTAAGCAGAGGGGAGCTCCATTACTGGGTTCCACATCATGGCCATGAAGCTGGAAGAGATCCAGGGTCGGGGGTAGTCAATAGCGTGGCTCCACTTTACCGTGGCTTGGCTTGGGATGTCATCCAGTTTGCAATTAATAGAGTGGTCATCGTAAGCGTACAAAATTTCAGAAGCAGGAGATATTGTGGCAGCTGTGGTAGTTTTTAGTTCAAGTTAAACAATCGGGGTATTAAGTATTTCTCTTTCAATCATTACAAATTAAATATTAAAATTTCCGATAGAACTCCGCCGATATCTCTGAATAAAAGTTGAAAAGCTTGCTGCTCAACTAACTTGGAGTGAAGATAACTAACTCGGAGTGAAGATAACTAACTTGGAGTGAAGATAACTAACTTGGAGTGAAGATAACTAACTTGGAGTGAAGATAACTAACTTGGAGTGAAGATAACTAACTTGGAGTGAAGATAACTAACTTGGAGTGAAGATAACTAACTTGGAGTGAAGATAACTAACTTGGAGTGAAGATAACTAACTTGGAGTGAAGATAACTAACTTGGAGTGAAGATAACTAACTTGGAGTGAAGATAACTAACTTGGAGTGAAGATAACTAACTTGGAGTGAAGATAACTAACTTGGAGTGAAGATAACTAACTCGGAGTGAAGATAACTAACTCGGAGTGAAGATAACTAACTCGGAGTGAAGATAACTAACTCGGAGTGAAGATAACTAACTTGGAGTGAAGATAACTAACTTGGAGTGAAGATAACTAACTTGGAGTGAAGATAACTAACTTGGAGTGAAGATAACTAACTTGGAGTGAATATAACTAACTTGGAGTGAAGATAACTAATTGGGAGTGAAGATAACTAACTTGGAGTGAAGATAACTAACTTGGAGTGAAGATAACTAACTTGGAGTGAAGATAACTAACTTGGAGTGAAGATAACTAACTCGGAGTGAAGATAACTAACTCGGAGTGAAGATAACTAACTCGGAGTGAAGATAACTAACTCGGAGTGAAGATAACTAACTTGGAGTGAAGATAACTAACTTGGAGTGAAGATAACTAACTTGGAGTGAAGATAACTAACTTGGAGTGAAGATAACTAACTTGGAGTGAATATAACTAACTTGGAGTGAAGATAACTAATTGGGAGTGAAAATAACTAACTTGGAGTGAAGATAGAGATGGTCTGGGAACCAGAGACAGAGGTCTTTGAGGTTCCAGCAATTATTTTACATGTAAAAGTATGACTTCTACCAGACGACTTGAGGGTAGTCAGTTGTCTACTTGAGAGTGCAAGTCTGGATATATGGGTATGTTCCACAGAGCTGGAGTTTCCAACAAAGGTGTGACTTGCTTGTTGCACTGCTGTGTCCCAGAAGATTTCTAATCGCTCAGGAACGTCCAGAAAGACGCAGCTGATTTCAACAGGATCCGGTGAAAACACGTCTATATTTTTACCTGTAGTTGTAGGTATTGTTGTAAGTTCAGAATCTTGGAATATTCAGAACCATATCAGCACATCATAGTTAAAGATGATATCATTCTGTGCTCAAATATGTTATCTGAATGGTAAGGTATCAATCAAACACCGAGCATGTCCCCAATGAGGTCCCCCACAGACTAAACACTTACTTGGGCTAGCAGTTGGAGTAAAGAGAGTGACAGTTTGAGTGGCTGTTATCTCAGAGTTAGAGGTCCCTACAGTGATCTTACAAGTAAATGTGTGAGTTCGGCTAGAACCCTTCAGTGCCTTCAGTCTGGAGCTTGTAATTCTCAAAGTGGAAGTCTGGGCAAGATCAACAAGGCTT